GTGCTGCTATGGCGTTTTTTACGAAAAGAAGAGATCTGCGAGGGAAAGGATCAAAGTAAGCTGCGCTGCGTGCTTGAGCACATGAGTCCTTACTTATGTTATTAGGGCTGGGAGTGCTGGTTGAGGTTAAAGTGTTCTGGACCAGGAAGATGTGGCCCAAGTTGAGTTTTTTTATTCATTTTATTGTCTCCCCTCCCCCTCTCCTTTTCCTTTAAAACATGTAATTTATGTATGTGGCGGATTAGTCAAATAAAGATGTGGTTCACCGAAGGCTGGGTCATCGGCCCCATAAACTTGGGTTGGGTTTGCATACCGTCCCCAAATTATCATCCAATGATATATTCTATTTTTCTAAATATTGACTGTAAGATCGTTACTCGTAGCAATGCATGTTTGCTAGTAAAAATAAGTGTTAAAGTGATTTAGCATCAACTTATTCTGAAATACTTGATGTATGACCTGTCTTGTTGCACTGAATTTCTTTTAGTTTTCATTTACTACTTTAACTTCGCATATTTGGTTGTAGTTCAACTTGTTTATGTTGAACCCTTTAACCCGGATGCGACCTAATCTAGACTAACTTCTGCTTTAGATAAATCAAAAGCACAGGGTGGGCCAGACTCTAAGGATGCAGTCATCCTGAGGGATGGGAACAATCAACATATTGCAGCACACACTTTCGCTTTTCGTGAACTTGCAGCTGCCACTAAGAACTTCAGACAAGATTGCTTATTGGGCGAGGGAGGTTTTGGTCATGTTTATAAAGGACGTTTGGAGAATGGGCAGGTTTGTGATTCAAAATGCTTTGATGCTTCTGAATTCCATTTTTCTTATATTGATCCTCTCTTATTTTATGATATTGTTGACACATAGGTGAGAATACCTTTTCTTCAGTGTAACTCAACCAAACTACACCATGCAGGTTGTTGCAGTGAAGCAACTTGATCGCAATGGCCTTCAAGGAAACAGGGAGTTTCTGGTTGAGGTTCTAATGCTTAGTCTGTTGCACCATGACAACCTAGTCAACCTAATTGGATACTGTGCTGATGGGGACCAACGTCTTCTTGTATATGAGTTTATGCCATTGGGATCACTTGAGGATCATTTGCATGGTTAGTTTGCTATAATTATCAACATTTATTACTAAGACACACTTATCTTGAAAGAGTTCTATTAAATAGCATCAATCAACAGATCTTCTTTGAGAAATCTAAATGGACCTAGGCATAATCGCATCACTTAGTGGCAGTTCTAATATCCATCATTCTACATTTGAGATGCTTTGTTTTGTGGAGAAGGAGAATGGGCATGTATCCATGTTATTTCTTATTGAACATTCAGCACTTGGAATTTTGCAGTTTGTGTTTCTTTAGATCACCATCCAGGAATGAAAACATTTTTTTTTCATTTCCTTTAATTATGACTTGTGGGAACTCTTAATTATTTTTGAAAAGATATTCACACATTTATTCTTGTGAGAGAATATGTCAAGGGGAAATCGTAGATTGATTAATTGAGGAGGAAGGCTACAAAATATATAGGCAAGGATGCCGTAGGATGGCCTATGGAAACAGAACCAATCTACGGTAATCCTTGCCTAATACAACTTGTAATCCATCAGGGAAGATCCTGCAGGGCGTGCAAGGCTGGCAACAGATCACACCCGTGAGGCCAATATGCCTGGGCGACTAGGCCTATAGAGGATAGACTAACAGCCCAATCTATATAGTCTAACAATTCTCATATGTCAAAATTTTCCTGAATAAAATTTAATTATATAATTAACTTTTATGTTAGATATTCCAACTGAGAAGGAACCTCTGGACTGGAATACACGTATGAAGATTGCTGCTGGTGCCGCCAAGGGCTTAGAGCACTTGCATGATAAGGCAAGTCCTCCTGTTATTTACAGGGATTTCAAGTCCTCAAACATTCTACTTGGTGAAGGGTTTCATCCGAAGCTGTCAGACTTTGGCCTTGCCAAACTTGGCCCTGTTGGTGACAAGACTCATGTTTCAACACGCGTTATGGGAACTTATGGCTACTGTGCTCCAGAGTATGCAATGACAGGGCAGCTTACAGTTAAATCTGATGTATATAGTTTCGGTGTTGTGTTCCTTGAACTGATTACTGGCCGCAAAGCAATTGACAACACAAAACCCCACGGAGAGCAAAACCTAGTTGCATGGGTATGTTTGTTTTGTCTACTTAATTTTCTTCATAAAATTAATCATTTGCCTTCAGTTTACCAATGAAAAGGTCACACAGCCATTGCATTTCTTGAGATAAAGTGAATATAATTATATAATAGTGCATCTAATAAAAATTACAGCAAGATTTTGTCAAAAGAATTACTATAGGATTAAACTGTTTTCCTGATCTTGAACAATAAGACAGTTCCAAGAAACAGAAACAGAATAGGTCAGTGCAGCCTGTTTAGTCAGCAGAACAAATGCCCAACCAAGGAGTTTTTAGGAAGCCACATAGATTGTTGCAGTCAAGCAAATCATTTGCTTTGAGCTACTCTGCTATGGTTTTCCCTTTCACTATTGTTTGATTGTTCTATTTCTTTTAACCCCTTTTCATGTGATCAGTATTTATGGTGCTGGACTTCTATCTTGTGCTACTTCGTAAACCATTTCCTTTTCTTTTTTCATTCCTTGAACACTATCTCCAAATTCTAAAGCTTGATACCATTGCTGTACTTGATCAAATTATTTTTGAAACGGTATAGACTGCTTGTGGCATCAGTAGTCCTCCATAAAAGTATTCAGTTGGTGCGATATCATGCCTAGAATTAGTTACGCCAAAAAATGTCTTGTGCATATTCTTAGGCTGCTTAGTCTTATATAAACATTACTATGGATATATGTTCTGAATTATAAGTTTGGATACCTGGTTTATGGTCGATTTTTTTGCAGGCTCGTCCTCTATTCAAGGACCGCAGAAAATTTCCTAAAATGGCTGATCCATTACTTCAGGGCCGCTTCCCCATGAGGGGACTGTATCAAGCTTTAGCTGTTGCTGCAATGTGTTTGCAAGAGCAGGCTGCTACTCGCCCTTTTATAGGTGACGTGGTCACTGCTCTGTCATACCTAGCTTCTCAGACATATGATCCAAATGCGCCTGTTCAACATAATCGGAGTAATTCATCTACTCCGAGGGTTAGCCGAGGTGGCGGGAGCAATGACCAACGCCGTCTCCGCTCACCGAATCACCATTCTCCAGATTTGAGAAGGGAAGCCTCCGCAACATCAAAATACGAAGCTGAGGTTAGCAGGACAAACTCTGGTAGTGGTTCTGGTTGCCGGTCTGGCTTGGATGATGTGGATATGTCAGGTTCACAATTGGGTAGTCCTGCTCACGCAGGAAGGAAGAGGGGATCTCCTAGGACTGCTGAAAGCCAGCGTGCTATAGCAGAGGCCAAAACATGTGGGGAAAAATCAAGAGGGAGAAAGTGACCAAACTCTCAGAGCAGCATTGAACGTATGAGCAGAACGCTGAAGCAGAAGGTTCATCCACTCATCATTCAGAAAAAAATGATGAGTTCCTTGCTAGCACCAAACAGGACATCTAGGTCCCTTGGTCTTTGTGAATAGAACTTTCCCCTTTTCCCTTCACCGGCTATTGCCACTGCTTTGTAACTTCTCCATACAAATATCATTGCCACCACAACCACCTTCAAAACTCCCATTCCTGGCGTCTATTCCTCATGAATGTGATCATCATGCTTATGAGCCTTTGTTATCACGGTGTATAACAACATTCGGTTCAAAATGTTGAGGTAAGGCAAAAATCTGCACTGGGGAGCACAGGATCTCACCCAGTGGGTATCTTCTGTTGCTGTTGCATGATGGGTGTCAGCAGTCACACCATTGTCGAGGGATGTGATGTTCTTTTCTTGAATGGTTTGTACCTGGGGTTACAGCAGTCCACCTGTGTTTGATGCATCTGTCTTGTGACATTTTTGTGTTGAGTTGTCAGAACACATACTTTATGCTCTCTGTACCAGAAAACTGTCGTGCCCCTTTCATCATATCTTATGCATGCTGTTTTGAAAACTGGTTTTTCCTCCTTGTTTTTGGTGCACCAAACTTTCATTCATTAGATTCATTGCATCAGAACTGGGTGCCAATCATGAGTGGTATTATATCCATTCACTTCCAATGATCTTTTCTAGAGGATACTTGCCGCTATGGGCTTGTGTTGGTTAAACTTTTGTAAGTTTGACTAGGTTTGTAGAAAACATTAGCATTATTTGTATCTCTAATTTATTATGGAAATATATTCAACGATTCATCTAATGCTATTAATTATGCACAATAAATATTAATATTTTCTTCTATATATTTGGTCAAAGTTGATAATTTTTTATTTCTCAAGAAGTGAGAATGACACTCTTTATGGGATGGATAGAGGATGGAGTATGTAAGAAAAATTTAATACATGTTTATTTCACATTGCAAAATGTCTAGGGATGAAAGCAGATCGGATACCACTAGATATATACAAATATAAATACCTAAATATATTTCTTAGACTCAAATTCAGACATGGATATGTGTTGAATATGTATACGAAATGATAGTTTTAGTCAATGAATACTAATAATTGAATTAGTGAGCTACGTAACTGTGAACCGTCCGACTTTGATTTTTTTTTTTTTTTTGAGATTACCTCTGCTTATATATATTTTGAAAGCCATGAATCTGAAAACTGGGAAACCAGTGTGCAAAGCTAGAGTTTGAAAGATAACATTCTATACTATTACAAGCAGACCAAATCTCGCCAATGTCGGATTGCAGGATATTCCTAGTTTTGAACTGCGACACAGCATGCTGTTGATGACAGCTTGCATCTTTCCTTGATCCTCTTTCAACAGCACCATCCACTTCTGCTGCCCTTTTGTTCCGAGAATTCCAAAGAGCCCAAGTCAATCCTGCAAATACAAATATACACAAATGGTTTGGGACATTGCATTTGTCATACAACCAGCACCCTCAGAAGTCCACCGAAAAAGTCCAAGCCAAGAATATGACACATACACATACACCCCATGAGTCCGCAAACGGTAGAGATTTAGTAGTAAATTCTTTAGACTTCAATAGCTCCCAGGAGATTCTGTCCTCTTCATCAGAGAGGGAGATATTGTCCAAGAGATCAAGAAGATCCTCCCAGAGAGACATATCTCCATTGCTAAAACTTCTCCTAAAACTGATTTGCCATTCACCTGTCTGTCACATGAACATTCAGCCACCATGACTATGGGATTATCACAGGTTTTCTGACTTTGAGTATTCGGGTTTAGTTCAAGTGGTATGACTATGAAATATACAATTTCAAGTGGACGAGTGGATGGAAAATATCCGTTGCATTTTCATCTCTAATAAATTCAGATATGAAGCTGCGTAGTTCTAAAAGAAATTTTATTTCCTTTCTTCTGCAGAAATGTATCGGTATTGTGTGTCGTTTGTTTAGTTGTTCCTCAAGGATGTCACTCACAAACCTTCAGAATGGAGTACCGTATAATTTGAATTTTGTTTTATTATAGGGTCATCCCATGAATTTGAATTTTGATTTTTGATGGGAGGAACTCCCTAGGCAATATTTTAAATCTGGCAAGGTAGACGAGTATACACATGGGTGGCTAGAAAACTAGTTAAAACCAGTTTCTTATGGAGGTACCCACAAACTTTTTATTTGTGAGAGCACCAAACATATTCCTACGAGAGTTTAGTGATATCAAACCAAACAAATTGGCTAGATTCGGAGTTATAGTAGGATGATCTGTAACCAATGCACCCCTCAAAGCAAACATCCTTCTATTTTGTGCGATTGACCACAGATGGCCTTGTTTAGATGCACACATGTATCTATCTCAATTCATGTGTGTTGGAGTGGATTGGCAGTGAAACTTAGTTTAATTTCCACCCCAATCCACTTCAACACACGTAGATTCAGGTGAGTACGTGTGCATCCAAATGAGCTTGAAGGCATCATGAAACGGTAATGCTTGGTTCAGGGCGTCCGTCCGGACGGACGGACCGAACCCCGCGCGCGACGACCAAGAAAAAAAAGAGAGGCGCGCAGTTGTAGTAAGCCGAGCCCGCACCCATTCTTTCTACGGGGCAGCACATGGGAGCGCGTGCGGCCACTCGTTCGGCATGGGTGCATGTGTCGTGGGGCAGAGCATGGGAGCCCGTGCGGCCACTCGCTCAGCGTGGGGTGCATGGAGCGCGTGGGGGCCGTGCATGGGCTGTTACCACACGGCGTTGGGAGTTTGTGAGAGGAGGGGGGCCCGCATCTGCATGCGCCGCTCTCATGACGGTTGACCATACCTAGAAGAATAACATAGTTGGGATGTGCCATAAAATCGTTGACAATTAAATCGTAGCTAAGTTTCATCATGTATCTTAAGAAAACATCAACACAATACTAGATCAAGTTGCTAGCAAAGGTAAAAGGGAAGCAAGCTAAGCACATACCTCTCGTGGGAAATGGTGGTATGTCTTTTGTGGAAAGTAGTGATAGTATGGGGGTAAATGAGGTACAATATCATGTGCATTGGTCACTCGAATTGCATTCGGCAAATATCTTTTGAAATTAGAAGCAAATATAGCATTGCCAATCCGAGGTTGCCCAAATGTCATGAGTGTCACATCCTTGAACCCAACATTAACCTAGAAGAACATAGAAATTTGGGTTTTCATAGGGCATAATATTAAATGCGAGGAAGGAAAAAAAACCTTTAATCCACCAAAAACCAATAGCATGGACTTCATATGCTTGAGGCAACATTTATGTCCATGCTGAAAAGGTATCACATCACATATACAGAATGTGTGAAACCATCTGGGAGAACATATAGTTACATACATCTCTAGTCTTAGGACAGGAAGTTTGCCATAAGATAAGATCTATGCTCAGACCATTGTTCTTAATTTCATCTGGTATCGGTACTGGTAGGATTCCCAAGAAATATTAGCAATAGTCATCCCATAAAATGTAAAAGAGTTTGATCCAATAATTTTGAAATTAAGTGGATATCATTGTTTTCTCATTTATTATACCAGACAGGATGCAAACTATGCAAGGTAATGTAATAATGAACAGTCATAACTCATAACCAATACCAGAAGTATAGCAAAAATAGTTTCATCCATAATACTTTATTAGGAACTCCTTTGATAACAAACATAAGTTCAATCTAGGTTTTATTCACTGTAAACATTTTGAACTTTAGCTAGCAATACCTGTGTATGTGTGTATTATAATTGTAGTTTTCATAACGAATCTAGTAATGGCCAATTAATATACAATTTTAGATATTGATGGTCAATGTAAAAAAAGTTTGACTTGGGACAAACCTAGATAGACTTATATTTGTGATAAGAGGAAGTACTAAAGTTGAGAAACAAAAACATCCTCCCTCAGTCAATGTGGCCAACTTCTAAGCATAGAAAAAAAAGACTTCCTCGGACAAATTTTGTTACTCACAACAAGATCAAGGGCGCAAAATGAAGCCATAGCTCCTCCCATGGAATGTCCTGTGACCATGATGGGAATATCACCATACAGTTCCCTAGTATTTTTAATACCTCTGACAACTCCATCACGCATTGTTGTGTTATGGTAAGCAGAATAAAATCCACTGTGAACCTATAAGATAGAAGACCAACATTTATAGTGTCCGCAAACTGCATGAGTGAAGTTTCATCATAATTACAAAGACCATGCTCACCTTTGCTTCAGGCATGCCTGGGTAGTCGAGATCAAGTTGTTTCCAGAATAAGTCTTCTATCCAGTTCTGAATGCTGAAAAATTAAAGGAATAAAAGTTTTGCAGAAGAATAACATGCACATACTTTTGTATCTATACCTGCCTGGCTTGATTGTTAATTTGAAATGCCACACATTTTATGACCTATGACATCCAGAAGATTGGATAGCAAACTTTTCCAAAGAATCAGAATTTCAAGGGCACCATTTTAAAAGTAAGAAAAAGTGGTAAGAGATATAATAGCTGCCTGAACACAATCCAACATATGCATCAGAACTTTTACCTGTTTTCTTGAGTGCCCCTGAACACAACTATAACTGCATTCATGTCTCTGGCAAATCCAACATATGCCTGACTCATCATAAACACAATCATCAACATAAGAAAAAGCCTATTACTAGGTAAAAAAGAAAATGATTCAGGTGACAGTGGCAGAAGTAGTAACCTGTAAGCAATTTTTCACATCAACAATCAGCTCTATCACCTCGAACCCCTGAGCTACCAAATAAATTTAATGAATATTTCACACCAAGCTAAATGTGAATTTGAATAACATTGGTACTTTGGTCATTCAGCCTTGCCTTGGAGGCCAAAAGAAAATAGAAAAAATGTTGAATGGAAAAAAGAAGGAGAAAACACCTGCTTTCAACGAATTCGCACCCAGAGTGTTAAATTTTCAACGGCGTGCGAATTGGATGTCAAATGTTCACATACGCGCAGATTGGGTGTCAAATATTCAATTTTCTCCAAATCAAAAGACAGATTTTTTCCTTTTCGGGGGCGAGAAACTGGAGGACCAAAGGGCCAACAACCTACCTCTCCCGAAGCAAAGCACCAGCAGGCACATCAAAACGGCTGCCGCGAGCCATCTCCGCTGCTCCATGGCCTGGAGCCGAAGCGCAAGAACCGGAGCGAAACCGCCCCCAAGCTGCGAGGAGGAAGACCAAAATCCTACCCGAATTGGGCAAGAAAACAACGGAATCCGTCTTACCGGAGACAGGACCGGCGAAATTTGTACGGGAAAGAATTGGCCCAACCTGGCCAGGGATCAATGATTGGGGGTTCGGTGCCCGCCGAAGGATTTAGGAGCCATAATACACTAGTCCATCACGCGCCCTCGCGCGCGTCGGCAGTCGGTTGGAAATGAGATCTAAACGTGTCTATAATTTTTTTTAAGATCGGAGCATGGAATTAGACAGTATAGAGAAGCTGAATAAAATAAAAATTGATCACATAGATATAGTAGTATGTACCTAGTCCCAGAAGGCATAGGAGGAGCAAGCATCATAGCATGAATCTAAAAATCCCCAAAAATCCAATGGACGATGTGGTGCTTAGTGGTACTCTTTCAATTGAAGGAAAAAGATGTGATCATAACTAAAAAGAAATATAATAGAAAAGTACAGCATGCCAACACAAACACTTTCTCAATAAAGCTGAGGGTCACTGAATCATAGTGCAGGAGGCAGGAAAAAAGGTCATGAAACAACAATCGTTAAAAAACCACCGTCCATTCGAACACATGAAGTTGTCAAATGTGCATGGAAAAAGATACAATGACATAGAATTTATGGATGCACTAAAATACAAGGGCAATGATGCTACAAATAACGGACTGTATTTATCAAGGTAAACAAATACGATGCATCGACATGGCAGAAAAGGATCCACTAAAGTAATATATAAGCAAAATAAGACGATAACCCTAGAAACTGATATGAACAAATTCTCTATCTTCCAATAGTTACTAAGAGGAAATTACATATTTACCTACGAAATTATCTGGTTGCAGCAGTTTAACCTCATAGTTCAAAAATAATAGCATACTCAGTCCTTGTCCTTGGGATTCAATTACAGTCTGCAATGAAACCAAAAATAAAATTTGTAACAGACATATAAGCTATGCACCTAGCTGCAAAGAAGAGAAGAATGACTAAGGAAAGAACAGAAATCAGAACAACTAAAGAAAGAGCAAGAATCAGAATACCTTAATATTGAATCGTAGCAATTTTTGCAGATAGCAGTGAAGCACGGGAAACAAAATTGGATTATTGTTAGGGAGAAGTAGGTCATCATTGCATATGGCAAAGTGCTTCAGTTCATTAAGAATGCAACACAGGACCATGCATATGTAATGGTTCGTATCACTGCATAGGCCAAACGCCTCAGTTTAAAAAAAAAGTGAAATAGAAACATCATAAAATAGCGCCGCGTCTTGAGAGATGGAGAGAGAAGAAGCTTGGAGAGGAGAGAAGCAGCGGTGTGGATAGAGGACATAGAAGCACAGGATATTTTTAGATGGCAGAGTGGAAAACGTCGGGGTGAAACACAACCATGAAACTGAAAACAAGGGGCCAAAACTTTTCATAGTAACGTGGCCACCTTGAGCGCACGCCAACTGCAGCCGAAATGCAGGAAGTAATATATTGTCACTTGAGATTAGAAAAAAGATCATAAAACAGTGATAATCATGACCGCATCTTCTCCTATGGTATAGTTGAGAAGAAGATATTTGTTTCCAGCAACATTGTCATTGAATAAAAACAGCACCTCCACTTAATTTCACAGAATGCTTTAGTGGCAGTACTGTGAATAATGTCAGTAACCAAGATTAGCAGAATGTTCCAAGAATTGTATGTCGAACCTGGAATTTAACATGAAAATAGTCTGGAAGAATGACGAAATGTCATGAAGGATCTGCAGCAAAAAGAAGATTAAGTATAAGAAATGGAATCCACAAACGTACAAGACCTTGTCCTTGGGAGTGTGATCTTATATGAGAAGCTGACGCTAAAAGCATAGGCTTTGAAAACACCTCTTATTGGTGGCGGCTTATAATTAAAGGCACACAATAGGATTAGTCTAGGATTGAATTTAGACATGTGAAACTAACAGAGATCATTATCCATGTAAATAGGACAAGGTTCTATTTTACTGAACAGAAACAATGAAGACGCATTATCCATGTAAATCATGAAACTGATTTTGTAGGGAAGAAAACACGGGTTTCAACAATGTACAGAGCTGCCCAATTGCTTTGCGGCCTAGTTCTTTGGGTAGCAGATGAACAACTCAAGAAGTTCTACACACGTGATTAGCAGCAATGTGAACCGTGACATACATCAGGAAAAGTACTATGAAATTCCGAATTGTGTGTAATAGCATAGCATTAGTGTCTTCTCTATACAAAGTGGAAATGCACGGAGCATCTTATTTTTCCTAATAGAAGTCCATTACCGGTCAATATCTTGTTGCCTGGATTTCCAAAAAGAAGGAATAGCTAAGAAACGACTAATCATCAGCTTTGAGTATGTAAATGATATTTTATGAAACATGTAAAATGACTTTAGCCTGCCCATTCAATTGGAAAATCACATCCAGTGTACGGGCATAGAAATGAGTTTGCATCAGCAGGAAAAAGAATGAGCAGAGCAACCTCTTATCATCAAAAGGAAGACAAGATGCAAAGCACCAAACTTTCATAATGACCATGAATGATCGATGGCCTAGAAAATGAGCCGGAGCGTTCACCGGAAGATCACCATGCAACTTTATATAAACACACATGTGAAGCACGCAACAGTATTCATGTAATAGATTTATAGAAACACTGAGGACCCTACAGGCTACAGAAAGGAAACAATTCAGTGTTGTTTGAGACTCTTCGTTTAAAGATGACCTAGCACAGTATGCAACATGGCTGAACTATCATTTACTTTGATAAATAGTTTTTTAATGAGCAAAACTCTAAGAGTTTTTTTATTTGGCGCACACGTGCATAAGTGTAGTAGCAATGTATCCTGGTGTTATATATTGACAAACAAGCATATTAAAATTCCAAGTATAGAAGAATCGTTACTCATCACATAATTCAAGGCACAGAAATCAGGTCTGTCCAAGTTTTAATAGAAAAGCATATAATTGAAAGTATTTGTGCCATGGAGATTTCTAAAAACAGCTGAGGAGGAAAAAAATTGATACCCCATCTATCCATGAAAATGTGCTCTGATTGGCATCCTCGCTTGTCTCTACAGCAATAGACCTAGGCGGTTTGTCCCTGCTTCAGTCCAGGCCGTGAAAGAATATATTCCAACTATTTCTACCATGAAGTTGTAAAAAAATAGCTGAGGAGAAAACAAAAAAGAACCCATACCCCATCTATCCATGAAATGGGCTCTGGTTGGCATCGTCCCTTCTCTATGCAGCAGTAGACCTGCAATGTTTGTTTCTGCTTCAATCTAGGCAACGAACAATCAAATCATTTGACACAAATAACATAGTTCATGACTCTTCAGTGACGTATGACAATATGGCATTAAAATGTATATACTGCAATCTATTTCTTATTTTATTAATATAGTATCCTAATAAAGGCTCCATTTCACCTGGTGTGGAAAATTTCTAAAATCTCTCACACACCATCAGATCACTGGTAATAATAAGGTGAGCTAGGGGAGAGGGGGGGCAAGTACACTGCCAGTGCTAAAAGAAAAATGACCTTAACCACAACCTATATTGAAACTCAACATCGAAGGAAAGTATAGTATTCTCAGATGGCGACATTACCATATTCTTGAAATATTAGATCAACCTTCGGAGTGACCCATGCATTCTGGGGGGCATGGCACAAACTTTTACAGAACAGGCTGCATTTAAAAAATCTGAGCAGTAAGCAGTGACCATCTGTGGAATAACATATGCTGGTGAAGAAAAATGGATTAACATATCCTACAATAACAAAAGTTGGAAAGCGTTACCTGTGGAATTCTTGAACATGTAAGTAAGTTCAGTGGATTGTTTTTTTTGTGCAAGAGGAAACCTGCAGAAGCTTTGATGTACATGTATGATGTTTTTTGAAATCAACATATACAATGGCACTTCTTCCAAATCATTTTGCAGTGGGAGAGTAGTTTCAAGATCTTTCTGTCTAAGGCAGCGGTAGTCACTACATTGCAAAAAACAACAACTTTATCACCCCTGGCAAATCATTCGACAATATGGTAACTAAGTTTAAGCATATTAGGAGACTGAAATTTTTTATCTCAGTATGTACACTATGCATTGAAAAGAAACATTCCTAAAAGTGGCTCACCACTGCATGCCAAAGTGCCTCAGTTCATTAAGAATAACAAAAAGAACAATATATGTAATGGCTCATGTCACTCCATAGGCCAAATGGCTCATGTCAATAAAAGCGGAATAGAAATATATCTAAAAACAATGATAATCATAACTGCATATTCTCATATGGCATATTCTGAGTGGCTGTGAAATATGTTCGGGAAAAAAATTGGCAAATAGTAATTGCATCGAAATATGATCAGACTTATCAGATGCACCTCCTAGGCACTGTCATGGTAAAATCGTTTTCCCAATACACGACTGTAACACCCCGGTGTTATGCCTACATTTAGGCACTGCAAATCATGCATATCATGCATCATCAAGCATCCTAATCATACATGCATAATCTTGCATATAATAACTGAAACATTCCTTCGAAACATACGAAACATGTTTGTGAAAAGTAAATGATGCATACACTTATTAGAGTTGTTTTGCTCTGATTCTTGCTTGCTAGCTGAGTAGAAACTGTTGGTTATGCTTGAAAATCATCTAGAATTGTTTATCATAATTTTTGGAGCAAGGTTTGTATTCAAATTAATTCAAAATTTTGCTTCCAAAGTGATTTCCCAAAATTAGGGTTTTGAGTTAAAAATTTAACTTTGATTCTATAATCTAAAATCTAGATAGAATTGGACTTTGGTCATAAAAGCAAAGTTGTAGGGAATTTAATTCTAAGCAACTTTCATTTTTGGTACATTTTCAAAAGAGGTCATTTTCTTGCTCAAAATAATGTTTGAAAGATGGCAATTTAAAATT